CTAAATATTTGTTCAAAGGGAACAATAAATATAGGAACAGTAAAATTAGTAGTTGACTGCAAGAACAATAAAGAGCTGCTGCAAATATTTATCCATTCATCAAAACAGATCGAAAATACAAGCTTTCAATGCAAGAGAGTTCATTGATTCGTATGGTGGAATAAGCTAAGACCTCTTCACAGATGCCTGCAAAAAAGGTTTCAGAAAAAGCTATGCATATATTGCTCAAGTACAAAGGACTATCTTTCTAAGATGAGTGATTTAATTCGTGAAAAAGGTTATTTAATTAATAAAAACCTTTTAATTTAAAAATAAAACATTTAAAGAAATTTGAAAAATATTTAATATTTTGATAACGATTGTTTTATTTTTTATTTTTAATTTTTTGTAAAAATTGAGTTTTTGTTCACTTTTTTAGAACATGTTTTTTATCATTTGCTGTAAATTTGGGACGGTAATTATATATATATATATAATAATATAACTTGGATATCTTATTCCTTACTAAAAGGGCAAATTCGAAAACTCCCTAAAACCCTTAATTGAATCTTGATATAAACTTGATTATCCTTATTCCTTACTAACAAGGCAAATCGAAAACTCCCTAAAACCTTAATTGAATCTTGTTAAAACATAGGGACTTAATTAAACTTTTTTACAAAGTCGAGGGATAAAATTGAATTTTTACTCATTTGACAAAAGAGGAGGAATATATAATTTTATTTAAATTTTAATTAAAATAAAAGTGTATTAAATGGAGGGAGAGAAGAGACTGACAATACTTTGGCCATGTGCGGTCACATCACAAAGGTTGTGATGATTATTCAGATTAAAAGCTGAGCAGTGAAATATCCAAACCTCATTTTTTGTCTTACGCGCTAAAACAACAGTTTGTCACTCACTCTCAGTAGATTCTCCGTCAAGAAGCATAAAGTTTGTAGTGCACGCTCTCTTTCGATGGAGTGTTGAAACAATATCAAGAAATATTTCCTTCTTACAGTATCCTCTGCCTTACTGGAATAATTGCATCTTTGCTTCTGTGCGCCAAAACTGAAGCAACAACTCACTGGATAAACCCTAAACCCTATCTATCTCCTACTTCTACCACATGATTCTTCTTTTTTGGTTTTTGCTTTGTGCATACAATTAGAAATATTTATATAGAGCCAATTTAAATACATGAGGACTGAATTTCTCATTTGTATTAATACCATTTTTATATGTTGGAGATAGCATAATATAAATATAGTGTATATCAATTTAGATACTTATGGATATTATTGCCATGATCATTAGAATAAATATTGATTAAGTTTAATTTAATAAAATTTTGAAATCCATACTAAAAATAATGACTCATGAACAAATGCATATTTATAATTTATCAATGATGTTATGGAATAATATATAGACCCCAATCAAAACAAATTAAGAGAGGTTAATGTATAGCAATTCATTACGAGCTATACACAACATGAAGCAATTTTCCCTTTTGAATAATATTAATATAGAAATAAAATTTTTTATTCCTTACATCTTTTATAGGATATTAGAAAATTAATCAGAGTAAACTTAGATTATTATTAATTTTCTTTATCATTAACTTTTTTTATATTTTCAGTAATAAATAAATGTTGTTTTTAAAAGTCATTTTCATTGAAGTAAATATTAAATAATGTCTTTAAGTATTGTCTTAATTAATAGCTAGTCGACATGATCAATTTTGCACATAGTTCTATTTGCATCATATAAAAATTCTGTGTGTCCAAAGCAGAGAAGAAGAAGCTATACGATAGCCAAGAATAAGATCCTCCATGCATACCAAAGTTTGAACACACAACACACGACATCCAATGTTAGACACCCTGCCGAACAATATCTTTTGATGCCTTCATGGGAAATAATAATAATAAAAAAAAACATAAAATAAAGCAGCTTTGCAAGCAAACATGGGTTTTCATTTCTCCCTTATTTTATTGAAGATATTTTTTTTTTATTTTTTTTTAATATTGTATGCTTGTGATTGTGAATTTATATGTTACATATACGAAAATAGGAGGATGATATATTACTAAACATTTACTTAAAACAAACTAGAATTGATACCCGCCATTGAATGCTGAAATTTTGACGTACTTTTTAGGGTTTTTTCTAATTCTAACTCTTTACTATTTCTATATTGTATTTTCTTGAATTTTAGAAATTTATTAAGTTTTATCATTTATTTGCATTTTTTTTATATTTTAATTAGTACAATGGACATTGAAAGATACAATTTTATAACGATATGACTACTCTAAATTTCGAATTTAGTGATTTTGCAGATAAAGCTCACAAGGAATGAAATCTACTAGGGTAAATTAAATCATTTATTAATGGGTCATCAATATTTTCATATATATAAATATGCAAAAGAATTATGAAAAATAAAAGAGCAAGTCAAATGAGGGAAGGTCAAAAATAAATAAAAAGGAGTTGTACAGGAGAGGAAACTGAAAGAAAAAGACAGAGCAAGACTGCATGTTACCTTTCTCTTTTATACGTATTGATTGCACACCAACACTGTTAATTGATTGATCTTTTCTTGAAAATCCGAGTCCCTATGCCTTCCCTTTCCTTCTTCTTATTCTTTCTTTACAATTTACGTAACTGAGAGGGTAAAAGATGTGATATAACACAGATCGATAGAGATATGCGTTTACTAATTACTAGTGATGGATATGGTTTAGTCACATTCTATCCTTTGTCTACTCTTCTTCTTCGCTTCCTTCTATCAAATCAATCACTACCCATTTTTCCGTTTCTCATAAATCATAATCTTACACTGTCATTATTATAAATTACACGTTAATAATTATTATAATTATTTATCAAAAAATTTCATAATATAAAAAGAATAGAATAGAGATTCCATCGTACACTGTTATGTTCATGTTCTTTTAATCAGATAATTTCTTTAACTATTTGTTGGAACTAAACACATTTTTGGAATGTCAGTACTTTCTTTAATACATTTAATTTCTCTCCTCTGTTTTTTTTTCGACTATATATAAACTACGTATATCTCTTCAACAGCTATCTCTTCTTGCCCTTTTCTATCACTTCCCCTACCTTCTCTTCTCTATGCTTGTCTTTTCCTTCTCATGCTCTTTGTTTCTCCATAGAAAGAGGTTCTTTTCGATGGAATGTGTCTGTAGGAGAAAGTACCAACATCATGGATTCCGCCATAAATGGAGAATGAAGCACAAACTAGACTTATTTTAACGGTGCTATCTTATCTGAGCTTCTTAATTAATTTTTTATTTTTTTTTTTCTTGACCTTGCAAGACTTTTAAAATTTTGTATTACTACGGTGTCAGCTCTTTACGCCTTAAATAGTTTATTTATATTTTATTGTTTTAGCCCTCCTTCCCATCTTTTCTTTTTCAATGTATTCCTCCTGAGCTTTGTGTAGAGTTTAATGGTATTGCTGTTGTAATTTATGAATAGTTTTTTAATGAGATGAGCTTTAAATTTCTTGCAATTCTTCTTTCGAAAGCAGTGTTTGGGTTAGAAGGACCATGAGTGCAGTTTGTTATATCTATCTTTGAAAACTCAGTGTGCTATAGCTATTGATTAGCTTTGAGAATGGTAGTTGTAACTTTGGTGCAATTAGACTAATTGCTATTTAATAACAAAGACTTGGCTTAATTAACAAAGTAGTGTTTACATCCAAAATAATTAGAGTATTTCATCAGATGAAAAAAAAAATTAAAATATGCTCTTATATGTTATTGACTCTTTTTTTTTTTTAAGAATATATGTTAGTAAATTATTGTTAAAGTCATTTTAATGATAGTATAACTTACCATTTCTTGTATCTTATTTAGTATTTATTCACTTTTATAAAAGCTCAAATTAGCCATTAATTATTTGAATTTGCCTGCTTATTTATTGTAAAATAATACTTGAAGTATCATGAAAATAATAATTTATCAATTATATTACAAGTGTAAAATTAAAATTTCATCTTACTATTGGAGGGTTAAAAGCTTTAAATGTGATTAAGCTTCAAGCTAAATTTAGTTAGTTTAGTTAGTTGGTGGTACTGGAAATCCGGATAATGGTAATTTAAAAAAAAAAAATCTCAACTTCCACCATGTTATGTTTTTTAGCGTTGCTGACCGTTACATTTTGGAATACTGATCTAATCTTTATTTTAATTACTAAATATTTCAAATCAATATCGTAATATTTTTATTAATTGAAGTTTAAACTCCCAATTATTCATCAAACAAACCATGCTTGAATGGTTCCCCTAATTAAAAGCAGATCATTAAGATGTCCAAGACTGGAAATTTTGAAATGAGGGAAAAACTTAGATCTAATCTCCAAATTAAATTCTAAGAAATAAAGAAGATAAAATGTAAATTTAATTACTAATTTATAGAGGCAGTATTAGTTGTTTAGAGCCTTATAATAGTTGAATCAGATTTGGACAGGCCCAAAAAGCTTGCCCTATTAAAAGATAGGCCCAAAAAACTTGATCTATTAAAAGCCCACAAACATTAAAGTTCTGGATGAACTTGTACATGTGATATAAACACATTTTATCTGCACAAAAATATATAAATATCATTTTATTCCTCTATCCCAAAATATGAATGGTTTAAGAAAATAATTAATTTTTCTAAATTACAAAAAAATTAAGAATAATTTGAACACATTAAACAAGGGTAAGAGTAAAAAAAAAAAAAAAAAAAAAAAAATTCAATTTATTCCTCTATCAAATCATGAATGGTTTAAGAAAATAATTAATTTTTCTAAATTAAAAATTAGTAATCTGAAACATTAACAGGGTAAGAGTAAAAAAAACAAGAAAAAAAAAAAAAAAAAAAAAAAAAAAAACTGACTTATTACTCTTTGAAACACTCAAAATTGATTTATATTTTAAAATGGGTGCACCAGTTGATTTATCTATTTGTCGCAGACTGAAACCTATTGAAAAATCTCAAGCAATATCAAGATGGAAAAATAAATGGAATGACAAGGTACAAGAATAAACATTTAAACAACATTTCACTTGTTTTGAGCACCAAAAGAAAAGCTAAATCCTGAGCTCATCCTATATGGTTGCCGCTTGCCAGATGCTTTTCATATTTACACCCAAGATTGCAACTTACAAGCTGAAATTATGGACAAAAAGAAATGGTGGGAAAATTTCTCTCTCTCTCTCTCTCTCTCTCTTTTAAATTGATAAATTGAAAGAAATCGAAAAAGCAAATAAAATAATTGAATGAAATATCAGCTTCCAGTTCCAATAGTTACATATTCATTGAGTGCTGATAGCCAAGACCTTCTGCGCCTGGCGGCATTGCTAGAAGTTGATCGTCCGAGTCTTAACCTTGAACACCTCACCAGTTTTTCGCGGAGGTTCCGGTCAATATTACAAGGAACTAAAGAAGGGCATGTGTCTGGAGTTCCTAAGCAACCTTTAGTATTGAATTTCATTGATGGGAACTTCTGGCAACTTAAAGAGCGAAAAGAAGAGGAAAGAGGGGATATTCTAGCGCAACCAAAATCTGGCTTGCAAAGTGGAGTGATCACTGAAGTGGGTTCTAGCTCCTCAACCGAACATGAGCAGAACGACAGCGACAAACTTGTTCTGCCAATTGTCTTCACCATTCGCCTTGTTTCTGCAAGCTTCACAAACGAAACTATGCCGTGTCGGCAGAGAGGACAGGTAACAGAGCCTGGAGGACCTTGAGCAGCAGCTGAGGTGCAAAATGTACAACAGAGATATAATGCACACCACGTGCAAAATTCATGACCGCAGCCTGCATCATTGAATATCAAATCCTTTTATTTTTGGTGATCCTTGGGATTTATCCATCCTAGAACAATTCACAATCACAGACATTCAACCAAGGTTATGAATTCAGATTCCAACAATTATTCGTATGTAACATGCCATTGCCAGATAAGAAAGGAGGTTCCCGAGCATTTGAAAAACAGAATAATGGAAAGCAACCCTCTTTTTTTTTTTTTTTTTTTTTTTTTTTTTATGGAATGCAAGATTCGCGAACAATTAGTTCGGGTAGTGGTAACATGCCATTGCCCAGAATAAGAAAGGAGGTTCCCCGGAGGCAATTTTGGAAAAAACGAGAATAATTGGAAGAGGCAACCCTCTTTTTTTTTTTTATTTTTTTTTTTTTTTGGATAGCAGAGGTTCTTAAGCTTTGGCCTTCTATTTAAAGCTTTCCAAACTTAATTAGAATTTCATAGAATTAAAAGATATTCTAATGTTAGCTATATACCAAAATGTTAGCTGTGTGGAATTGTTAAAATGGAGTTGTACAAGAAAATTATGGAATTTATGTATACCAAACCAAGCTTTCGTTAAAGTTTAGATGTTCAGCGTTGAATTCCATAAGTTATGGTGGAATTGTCCATCTGTACACCGAAACGAAACTCTCCCTCGAAAAAAAGAAAAAAAAAAGAAAAAAAAAAAAGGCAAAAAAAAAAAAAAAAAAAAAAAAAAAAAAAGCAAAAAGAAAAATATACTTCAGTAGACTACCAGAGTATCAGACTCTCAGACTTGGTCCATCACCAAATCTGCATGACTTGCAACTATATTAATGGTCAACTTATAAGTGTCATTATTAAGATGTTTGAGATCCAATATGTAGTTCATATTAAAAAAGGATTCATTTTTCTCATAATTTTAGTTGATTTTTGAGTTTTCATATGCATGGTACATTTCTGCTCTTTAAGTTGCCCTCTAATAACTATGTACTCCAGTGGCCCCCCCCCCCCCCCCCGTGGCCCCCCCCCCTCCACCCCCAAGAAACAAAAAAAAAAAAGAAAAATAAATAAAATAAAATAAAAAAAACCAACGCTATGGCACCACGGTTAGCAAACCCTATTGCTAACTCAATTAGATCAACTCTTGAATCATCATAACCAAGTACCAACCATTATCATAACAGCCATATATCACCAATTTACTATCCCTACTGAAGAGGATTCAATGGCAACCCACAGGTCCCCTTGGATGCATCCAGCAACTTCACTTTTTAGTGGCAATGGGTATGTCCAAATAGAATTATGCTCAGAAAAAAAGAATGGAACGTTATTACAATATAAAACAGAATTTTTTATGTAAGGACCTGAACTTTTTTTCTTTTTAGCTTCCTAAAAGAGCTCAAAGAACAGAACATAAGACAGAGAATCTGAGGTAAGGGTTGTAGAAGTTGTATTCCTTACCTCGTGAGAACTTAAATCAGCCAAAAAAAAAAAAAAAATCCTTACCTTTGCGTGAGGACTTAAAGTCAGCAAAGAAAAAAAAAAAAGGATATGTATTATTGAAGGTCAGTTCCTTGTTGGGCAATAGAGGCGCAACCTGGAAATGAAAAAGATGGGCAGAAGGAAATAATATATATTAGACCAGAAGTCCTACAGTAAGCAAGAATCCTGATGAAAGATGACTCCGATGGGCCAATCCTTCAGCATCTTTTAGAAAGTGTGTGGCTACTGCGTTACACCCAATACCTACAGATCCTAACTCACTGCTGAGCTGCAGGGCGTTAACCATTAAAAAAAAAAAAAAAAAGGATATGTATTATTGAGTCATTCCTTTTGGCAATAGAGCCAACCTAAATGAAAAAGATGCAGAAGAAAAATATATATAACCAGAAGTCCTACAGTAGCAAGATCCTGATGAAAGACTACTCCGATAGGCCAATCCTTCAGCATCTTTTAAATGTGGTGGCTACTCTTACACCCAAACCTACAATCTAACTCACTGCTAGCTCAGGGCGTTAACCATTGCACCAGACAATGGACTTACATAAAACAAATATCCAAGGAAATTTGTTCGAATAACTTGTCTTTTCCCGCAACATGTGCTTGTGTGCTTGTTGGTAACATTAGTTCTCACAAACATAATGGAACATTGGACATCATTTGCTAGTAAAAGCAACTTACCTTTTGCAGCGACTGTGCAAGCCCTTTCCAGACAAACAACACATGGATCCTTGCAGGTGGTTAGCAAATCATTGTTCCTCCATCCACATTCTCTGGAAACAATCCCAAAAAACAGAGAAATCAATGTGATATACAACCATTCTATTCCACGTCCCTTCTCAACAAAGTGCATCAGGCATATTCACAAAATTTATATGACAAAAGAAAGTAAGTTATCTACATTTCTTAAATTCCTTCATCACTATGTTATGCAGATCAAGTTCCCCCAATAGATTATAGTAATTTAACTCAGATTTCTTGCATCACACATGTGTTTGATCCACACAGCATGTAGTTTCATTACCATAGCTGGTTTGAATCAGCTGACTCAACAACACATCTAAAAACCTAAGCACATGACAAAAGGATAACTTACATTACTTGGATAAGGAAATTTTTCTACTTCAAGTTGCATGGAACCCAAAATTGTCTGAAAGCAAATATGTGTGAAGAAAAACTTACACAATACCAGTGATTTGTCTTACACAAATTTCAAATTGGATGGTACAAATTCTAAGACACATCTCCCCGTTCTATTAGCCTCTTCATGGATTTAATGCTAATGTGCATAAGGCACTACTGCCTCTGCACTTCTAAGTCATACTTCACTTGGACAATCAAAGATTAGATAATGCAAAAGATTAAATACTCCCAGGGATGTGATCAAAACCCTAGTATGTCAATACCAAGCAAGGTGAGGATAAAATGTTCAAGATTCATAAGTAGATAGTTATACAACAGTAGGTTAATGTGGAATAGTATAGGCAACAAAATATGATAAACCAAACTCACCTAGCAATTTTGATAATGCTCATAAGGGGAAGTGATAAATATGTTGAAGGACACATTTTTGGCTCATATTCTGGCTGTGTACTAAGCATCTCTTCAAGTTCATTTCTACGCCATGACCGAGCAACCATCAATGGTGTCCATCTTGAACCAAAGATAAAAAAGGCCAAAGAGATAAGTCAACAACCGTCAATTCATAAAGATAATCAGTATAAAGGCAATATTATGCTAGACATATGAGATGCATACCCATTTGCATTTTCAGCTGTCAGACTGGCACCCCTGGCAATCAAAATCTGAACAACAATAGTTACGAAGATGGTAAAGCTTCAGCATAATTGCAACATCATGATTGAATTTTAAATTTTTTTTTTCCTCTTTAATGGGAAACATACTTGACAACATTGTGCATTACCACCACATGCAGCGTAGTGAAGAGCTGTGCTTCCAGCACCTGAAAAGTGAAAACAGGCATACAGCATTAGACAAAATATAATTGCAGCAATAATAGTTCCAATCCAGAATAAAGGTAGACTTAGAGAATTAACTTTCTGTACACATATAACAACATCAGGGAGGAAATTGTTTAATTAGGAGTCGGCCATAGCATTATCAGGTAGCCTGTAATACTGTAAAGTATCATCTTTATTTCAGCAGTGACTTAAGAATTGGATATTCTACAACCATGTTTGGAATATTGCTTTCTACAAGATGACAAGAAAGAACGAGTCCCATAAATTTTCCTACACAATATCATAACATTATTCGCTATATTTCAACTAATAACCTTCAGTTGATTAATTGCAAGAATGGTACCAAAAAGCACGCAATAATGATTTAAATGGATTTGCAAAACTCTTCAAAGTTTAAAAGCCTCTAGCTGCAAGCCAAATAAAGTGAGAAATACATTGAAATCATGGTTTTGAAGTTATTAATCTTGTACAGAAGTCAGAGAAGTGTGTGAATTTCAAAGTAATATCAAACAAACAACAATAAAATTAACTACAAGTGCACCTCCATTACTATTTGACTAAAATCCGGTAAATTATCGATATCAGCAGTGGACAGTGATTATAAATTGAAAATGTGAAAGATAAGAGTATGACCTATTAGATCAATAGTGGTTCCATCTTCCACAGTGACCTCAGAGGCAGAAGCTCCTAAATCTAAGAGTAATTGGACAGTTTCAACATGCCCATTTAGTGCTGCCATGTGCAGAGCAGTCATGCCTCCATCAGCAGTTCTATTAATTACTTCATGCAGAGCACTGATGCAAGCAAAACGGCACAAGAAAGAAATCAAGAAAGCATAACGGGGCAAAAAAAGAAGAGAAAGGAAGAAAGAAATATCACATTAGTCATGGAATTTAGAATAGTAGGTACCATTCATCAAACTCTGAGACTGGTTCACTGTCATTTGATCTTTCCCTCAATATATTCCAACAATCAGGGATGCTAGGTATGTAATCTGCAAGGAGGAGGCGCACACAGCGAGTATGGCCATTCAAAGCAGCCAAGTGGAGTGCAGTACCCCCATTAAGGTAATCTGATCTGTGAATCTAAAGTCAAGGATTCCACAAAATTTTCACAATCTTAATCTTTAAATTCTTTAAACCATTCATGGTTAATCTGTCTGAATGGAAAGTGACTTACATTGGCTTTAAAAAGCATCAGAATCAGAACAACCTCCCAATGACCATGTTGACAAGCTTGCATCAAAGCAGTCTGTAAAATGAGAAACTAAATGCTTTATATAATTTTGTAGATGAGTAATTGATTTTTTGGAAATCTGAAAATCATGTTAACATTACCTGACCCCGATAATTCCTCAGATTAATGTCAACTCCAGACTCAATCAAGAGGGAAACTATCTAAAACCATTTAAAAGCACAGTTAAAAAGACTCGATATTTATAGTAAACATTTGCCATACAGAACACGTTACCAACTCAATTGAAATTATCAAATACCTCATGGTGACCTTGAGCTGCAGAGTAATGTAACGGAGAATTTCGAACTCCAAAGGTTGAATACCTTGCAAGCCTTGGATTGCATTCCAACAAAGCCTTAGCTTCTTGAAGATCTCCATCTCTTGCTGCAGAAACTAAACGTTCCCCAGATGCAGAACAACCGAAGGAATTACCCACGAGGCTTAGAAATTTCATGATTTTTTCGCTCCACAGAAAAGTCTGTTGATCTTGAACAAAGTGAACAGTAAATAAAAGGGATTTTGTTTCCTCAATCTTTAAATTTAAACCAGGTAAAAGCTTCTATAAAGACAATTGAATAACAGTCAAACGCTAACAGTTCACATAAATTCCTTGTATCTACCAAACCAACAGCTACCGAAAGCTCACTAACTCATCAAACGATTGGTTGAAACGGTCAGAATCTCACTGACTTTTGATAATTCCTAAGGTGAACTACAAGACTCCTGTTGACATCCAGATGAAAGAAAGAACAAAAAGGTTGTCATTAACCACTCATTGATTAAAAATTAAAAAAAAAAAATTAAGGAAAAAAAAAATACTACTTTCCCAAAATAAGGTTACAATCTGGATGTGATACTGATTAGTTAAATATCTCGTGAACTTCGAGAAACCCAACAAAACAAACACATCACAACAAAAACAAAGCAAATTACTTTCCCAAAGAAAACAACGATCTCCGGACTTCCCAAACAAAATTATCATCAACTACAAATAAATATTCAATACTCACTTTCAAATTTTTCTTCAAGAATCAAAATCCCCAAAACCCATTTCTTAGTTTCTTCAAAAAAATCAAAATCTCCAACAAATGATCCAAAATAAGGAAAAATATACGTATATTTACCTCAAGAAACGAAAACCTCGAGCACCCACCTGAAATTCACAACGAAGAAGCAAAATCTACCATACCCATTTCCTCAAAGAATCAAAGCCTGTGAAAACTAAGATAAAGTATCTCTCTATCTGGAAATAACAATAAAGAATTTACTGAGAAACAAAATGTTAAAAATAAGATCAGCAACACTATAATAGAATAGTAGATTGTCTTTAACTAAAACGAAGGAAAGACACTTGCCTATATACGTACCATTGTTAATTTTTGCCAAAAAAAAAAAAAGAAAGACATGAAAGGAATAAAAAATGAAAAAATAAAAAATAAAGACGGTGACTTTTTAACTGCAACCTCAACCAACAAAATAATAATAAAGAAATGAAGAGAGCTTGCATGAAAGGCGTGTTCGTGGAGGGAAAATCAAATGGTCAGCAGCAGTCAGCTTGGTTCACATCCGCCTTAAGGTGCCCTTAACTTGTCCCTTTTTTTTTTTTTTTCCATAATACTCCCATCTCTTTTGTTCAAGGAATCCTCTGATTACCATTTTTATGGAATATGGTTTTAATTATTATTATTATTGCCATTTAACAATAAAAAAGATATTACGGATCAATTTTTATATCATATTAAATTTTATTTTCTATCTTCCACATTGAGAGTTATAAATTCTGAAAAATAGAAAAATCCTCAATAATAATCTAATTTCAAATATTGCATTACAATAAAAAAATAGGAAATAATCATTTACCAAATAAATTAATTCTTAAAATTACTCTTAACATTTTTTTATTTCTTTCTCTTTCCTGATTTAAGTGAAAAATATTTATTTAAGAAATATTTGAAGGGAATTTTCTAAAAGAGTTTTATGCTTTTACATTTTTCTGTTAATGCAAAATAGCTTGAGGATATTACCATTGATTACCATATATATATATATATATATATATTGCTATCTTCCAGCATCTGCAGAGGTTATAAAGTTCTGAAAAATTAGAAAAAAATCCTCATAATAAAATCTGAAATTTCAAAATATTGCATTACAATAAAAAAATAGGAAATAATCATGTTAGACCAAATAAATTAATTCTGTAAAGATTAACTCTTTAACATTTTTTTTATTTCTTTTGCTCTTTTCCGTGATTTAAGTGAAAAATATTTATTTTTAAGAAAATATTTGAAGGGATATGTTTTCTAAAAAGAGTTTATGCTTTTACATGTTTTTCTGTTAATGGCAAATAGCTTGAAGGAGTATTGACCATTGATTACCATAATATATATATATATATATAGTTATATATATAACTATCACATGTTTAAAATTAAAAAAAATAAAAAAAAAATCAAAAATGTCTAACCAACTTTTGTTCCTGGAATAAAATTGTTAAAACAATAAAAATCGAATGTTTTTAAGAAGAATAAAAAGATTATGTTTAATATCATAAATTTAAATATCCTGGTATTTAGGATTGTTTTAGTTTCTGTAGATAGTGTATATTAGCAATTATTCACGTCATTGTACTATTTTTATTTGTTGTAATCTACTTAATTTTGAAAGAAAAAAATTGATTGATGCTAGATTATTATAGAAATAAAATTAATACAAGGTAATTTACTCGGTTTGGAACAATGAAAAATAAAAAAGACCAAAAAAAAAAAAAAAAAAGAACTTCTCCAGTGATTAGAGACAAGAAGATCACTGTCAGTCCCACCTCCTCTCCACCTTCTCTTACAAATAGATTTTAATTACTACTTGGACCTCTTAAAGTTTGACCTCATATACATTTACTAATCCTTATTGTTTCCAAAGCACATTAATTAATTTTCAATGTTTAAAAAATGTGACTATTTAGCATTTCAGTAATGTGAATTTTAAATGTTAATATAAGAAAAATTTTTGAAAAAAAAAAACCTCATATTCAAAACATTCAATTTTTCATATTTCATATTCTAAAAACGCTCAAAGCACTCAAATTTCCTTATATAGCCATAGTTATTTATTTGATGTCCTTTTTTTTTCTTTTTTTGCCTTTTTGTTTAACAAATTTTAGATTTTTTTTTTTTTGGAAGGAGACAAATTTTAGGTTGTTAGAATGAATTTTAATTGAATTTAGAGTATATATGTACGTGTGTGTGTGTGTGTATATGTGTGTATTTATATATATATATATATATGATAATTCATTTTTTCTCATAATTAATAGATTATATTATTTTTTTCTCATAATTAATAGATTTGATTATACGTGATCTGAAATGTATTAAATCTAATTCTTTGAAATTTATAAATTTAAATTTAATTTGACCCGAGCCAACCATGTACAAAATCAAAGAGTTTTAATTAAAAGTTAGGGGCCAAAAATACTTTTAAAAATTAAATAGACAAAATAAAAATTTACTATCTTAAAGAGAGAATTAAAAAATTTTCACTATTTTAAGGTGCAAAATATAATAATTTTTGGGCTAGGGCGAGGTCACCTGTGGCCACTCCTCTCCCCGCCACTACATGTGAACCTATTACTTTGGCTAAACTTGAGATCGTGACGAATTTTAAAATTTAGGTATAGCCCAAATATTTATTTGTATTATTTCCAAATACTTTAGAATATAATAAATAATTATTTAAAACTTAATATCTAATTAAATTTAGAAAATTAATATGTATATCATTAATTTTAATTTCCTAAAAACTAAAAAAAATCCAACTCTCGACTTTGACATTTCATATAAATATATATGATTTTATAAAATTACATTCAAGCATATCTCGTAAAATTTAGACTCGCTACATAATGATTAAGTCAAGCATTAAGGAAAAAATATATAATTTTATAAATTAGTTGATCTTATAGGACCGACAAGTATCTAAATTAATAGATATATTTATTAATTAACAATGGATACTCATTTTAATTCAGAAAAAAGTAAATAATTTACTTTTTGAAATGAATCTGCATAATACATTTTAAAATAATAGGCTGGGAGATAATAATTTATCCTCAAAACAAAACAATAATAGATAGCATTTTCCTTTCTCTTCCTTGCTTATTTTAATTTACAAATATTATCTATCCCTTCACTCTCCTAAACAATTTATTAATTATGAATAATTTATACAATAATAGAAATAAAATAGCCCTCTTCCATTAAATAGGAAAAAAGGAATAAACAATAGACCAAATCAAACCAACATGTTGCAATAAGTTGATTAGTCCAAAATTGAGTTGTGAGGGCAAGCAATGGGACCTGCTTGGAATCTTATTTATTAAAAATTAAAAAGAAAAATATTTGTTAAATATAATAAATTCTTGAAGGTAATGTGCTGCCCACTTGGACTGCAATTATATTGTACTTAGACAGTTCAACACTTTTATTAGTTAATAAATAATAAAGCACCCTTTGCTATAGTGAAAGAAACTTCATATTATTAGCATATTTCATTTTGAGATTTGAGAACCCTCCTCTTTTTTTTTTTTTTTTTTTTTTTTTTTTTAGAACCCTCCTCTTTTTTTTTTTTTTTTTTTTTTTTTTTTCTTTCAAATACTTTACGTGCTTACTTGTTAATTATTTTTTTTTTTTTTTTTTTTTTTTTTTTTTCTTTTAAATACTTTAGTGCTTACATTGTTAATTTATTTTTTCATTATGATTAAAAGTATTTGTATTTATATCTTTTTAGCATAAGATAATTTATTGTATAAAATATTAATATTTTATAGATTGTACCACTTAATTTAGTGTTGGAAACTGACGAGGTGAAATATAAATTTTTTAAACTTTTAAAAAACAAAATGAATAAGTTTCCAAAAGTGTTCTAATAATTTTTTTTTTTAGTAAAAAAAAAGAGCAAAACAAAAAGTAGAAACCTATATTAACAATACCGCAAGCATCAGTCTAAAGAATCAAAGACAAGGAACTAGGATTAGATTATAATGTCCTTTTGAGTGTAAGATTAGTATCCTTATAGGATTTTTGGTGTTCTATCATTATAATTGTTTTTTTTCTGTAATACTTATTAAGGATCAAATCTTTAATTTTATAAATTTTATAGATAAATTTATATAGTTGGTTTAAATATATGGTGACAAACTAAAAATTACATTAGGAGCCATTAAAGGAAATCTTGACCCTATAAAAATGGTCCTCAATATTTTATGTCCTCCATTTTAGTGTTCAATCTTGTGAACCAGTTCATCACAGTGTCACTTTGTGGGGGCAGTAGTGTCTTTGGGCGGAAATCTAGGCCTATGCTTTTTTGGTTTGGGCTTTTGGATTAGGTCGTTAATTTATAACAGACAAAAAACCCATCCGATTTTTCATTTCAACGACCACCCATATATCTAACCAATCAAAGCATTAAATGGTAATAAATGAGAAAAATAACAATATTTTTAAATATTTAATAAAGAAAATAGTGATAACAATAGCTATCTATTGGTTTGATTTATGATATGATCTCATACACCCTATATAAATAAATTGAGAAATTGTAATTTTCTTAAAAAAAATCAATTCCTTTGTGTTTATTAGTTAGAATCAAATGATATTTTGATGTAACGCTGATTTTAATCCCATTTTATATCAAAATATTTTGAAATTTAAAATCTTAATATTCCCTTAATATCATTATTTCATGCTAATATAATAACGACGTGTCAAACTTTAATTCCCTCGTTGCATCATTATTTAAATGCAAAATTATTAATATCATTGTGATGTATTTGAAGGTAATATTAAAAAATATTATTTAAAATACTTATTTTTTAATAAAATATTGACTCTAATAAAACTTATATTTTGAGACGGACCCAGTAATTAAAATGAAAAAAAAAAAAAAAACATGAAGTACTGATCTAAGATCCGAAAAGAGTGGAATTTTGTCAAATGATATGGAGCTTTTAAAATGTCCAAACTTGTTTTTTTCAGATCCCAATTTCAACAAAAAAAAAAAAAAAAAAAAAAAAAAAAAAAAAAAAAAAAAAAAAATGGTACTTTTGTCCGTTGGGGACATTAAGTTGTTAACAACAACAAATGTTTTTGCACATGCAGTTGCAGAATGGGCCTTTTCATCATTTCCGGATCCTCGACGCGTCCATGTACAGTGTCTCGTGTCCCACATCATCCGCCTACTAGGCTATTAATGTGAAATTGTGAATGTCTATGTCTGTTAATATATCTTCATGGGCAAATTACTATAAAATCCTTAAAATTTAATTGAATTTATTTTTTTGAGAAGAAAATTTAATTGAATTTATTATTTCCTTTTTACTGTCTAAAAAATTTACTGTAAAGTATCTAACATTTGAAATATGTATAACTATGAAGTCCTTTCATTAGAAAATTACTCTTTTATTACTATTAGTCTTTTTTATGACGTGCATTGTAAGTTGACAATACTAATTATATTTTCATTTTTTGTCTTTTTTTAATTTTTTATCTATATAATATTAAAATATACGTTTTTGTTTAGATTAAAATAAATACAATCGGTTAATTTGTATTAGATTTTATTGTATAGGCTACTTGCAATGCTATTTTTTAAGTACTTGATTCTTTTTTTATATAATGAAATGGTTTCAGAATAAAGTTCAATCAAATACATATACTTTTTCCTTCGATCCCTAATTTATACATGTAGATTCTTAAAACTTTGATAGGTGCTCAAAAAGAAAATCAATTTATCCCTCAATTCCCGATCTTTGCTCTCAATCCCAAATCAATATCGATGTACAACTATAATAAATAATAATAATAACAAATTATTTTTTACTGATAGGTAAAAGAAAAAAATGAGAGGATGATCTGAATTTATAATGGTAATTATTTTGGCTATAGTGTGATAGTATTACTTTCCCAGTGTATTAGATAAAGTAATATATGAATATACTCACGAACTCTTGAAATCTAAAACAGAAATATATAGTTATAGTTTTTTTCAATTTCATAAACACTGTTTTCTTTCAAGTCAAACATATTTAGGATATAAATTCCTTTCATAAACACTTTTTCTATTTCAAAGTCAAACATATTGTTTTCAATTTCATAAACACTGTTTTCTTTCAAGTCAAACATATTTAGGATATAAAAGAAAAAATATCAAAAAAATTAAAAATATTTAATTAGGAGGCCATCTATTTATTGCAAAAAAGATATAAATCTCTTGGTAAATTAAAGTGACAGTGGTTACAAATTAATTCAATAACGAAAAAAGAAATAATAAATAATAAATTTTTATTCAGAACAAAACTCTTTAAGAACTCAACATAAAACGATAAATAAATTATATTAAAAAAATATCAATTTGAATTTCAAAAATAACCTGAAAATTGCTGTAATTTAATTAAATTTAATTTTGATGGACAAAAAAAAATATAAAGTCAAGTCAATAAATAAAAATTATAAAGCAAATCATGCTAGGATCTAATATTAGTTAGCTAATGAGTTTATTCAAATATTTTGTTTCTCTATTGTTCTAAGTTGCAAATTAAGTTAATTACGTAATAAAAAAATATTACATAAAAGAAATATTATATCTTCTCCAAATAAACCTATAATTTTTCCTATAACCATACAAGAAAAAAAGAGTATATTTTTTTTTCTTTTTTATTATCTATATTTATTTATTTAAAAAATAAATTTTATAAATTATATCCAATCAAGTAATAAAATGTAATTTTTATTTATTTTTTGTCTTAACCACAGGTATCCTGAGTCCACCGGGATAAAACTAAATCTTGCTCATATCAGGTCGGTCTAAGAAGAGATAAAGTGCTCCCTGAGTATTTACTCCACCAATGAGGATCGAATCCTCGACCTAACCTAAAAGAGAAGAGTGTCGAATCACTCATCCAAGCACTCATTAGTATAAAATATAATTTTTAAATTGGTTACGACTGAGATTATTTTTGAATATTCTAAATTTCATTTAGGGTGATATCAAAAATCTCATTATTCTCTCTTATTTTCATATTTATATATAGTATAGAAATACTATTTCGTAATTTAATTCTCCCCATTTAATATAATACTATTATTTAATCACTCAATGACAAAAATAGTAATTTTTTGAAATGAGCGACTAAAATAATCTAACGGATCTAAAAGTTACAGGTGTACAATTATTAAGTCAAAATACAATTAGTGATTTTCCATTCCATTGTTCTCTACAAAAAGTGCAGGAAGAAAAAAAAAATAGAAAAGGGAATAATATGAAATATAAATTCCTTCGTGGGAACAAATATACCTTTTTTTTTTTCAAAATAGTAAATATGCTCTTACTTTAATATTTTAAGTGATTTCTGGTTTCATTCCTTTCCATGTTCATAACCAAATAAAGAAATTGAATCGTAATTTTTTTTTTATTTCATGTTGCATATTAAATATAGAATAGAAAATTTATTATTCTATTTTGTTTTCTATTTCATTTATTATTTTAATTTCATTTGGTGTTTCTTCCCATGAAGTGCAATTTTAATTGGATTGTAATAGTAATAATTTGAAATGGGATTAGTGAAAGAGATTAGCTAATATCACACGAGAAATTTTACCTATTTCGACTAAACTAGTTGACTTAACCTTATAATATGTACTTTTAATTTAAGATCTAAGCATTTTGTTTTCAAACTTTGACATTTTGTATATTCCATAATTGTAGTAAGATATAATTAACTAACCTTTGACATTAAAAGCACATGGGAGCAAAAGGTTGTTGATTATGGGAATGGGTGTAATGGATTAGTTGAATTAATATACTTATCTCTCCATCAATCATTGATAAAATATTACCTAATCCTTAATTTTTACTTGTTTTAACAATTATTTATGAGTAGGGTCAAATTCAAAACTTGGAAACATTACATTTTGTTTTTCATAAATTTGGCAATTTAAATACTAATTAGTACTTGCTAATCACATATCAATTTTATTAATTATGGATTTATGATAAGAAATGACATATGGGGTATGACATTCAAATTAGAATAATCATCATTCATTTTTCGTCCGGTCCTAAATTGACAAGCTCCATTGAGCATTGTGCTATGGTCCTATGCTTTTATAGACAAAAGCTCTTTCCAAACAGAAACCAACAAAAATTGCAATATTAATAGTATCTATTTTTCAATTTAAAAAATTTATATTTCTTTGGCATCCCTTCATCAAAATCCTTGGACAAATATCAATCTTAAGCTTCTTTCACTGTCAAATGGTTCTCGTTTTGTCTATTTGGTAGTATTATTCAACTTCTTTTATAATGTTGACATTTTCATTTCTTATATTATAAATATTTTTTTAAAATTGGTTTGGGTCACTTGGTCAAAGTATTAAAATTAGAATCAATCTAACAATTTGACTTTTTTTTTTTTTTAAATTCACTTTTCCTTTTTATTTAATCTTACGAGTTGATCCAAATAAATTTGGTGGACAAGTCAATCAATTATTTCACTAGTTTTCACTTTCAAAATTCAATGTTTTAATCTTAAACTATATTTATATTTTTAAAAAATACACATGACTTCTCTTAAAATTTTAAATTTAAATTCAATTTTCATTTCTTCAGCTTTTTAATATTTAAAAATTTTTAACTCCATCCACAAAATAATACTAACTGAAAGTGAGATCCCATTAATCCCTTCCTAATGCTAAAAATAAAAAAATTCACATTTTTATTATTTTCAATAAAGTTATTCTATTTCTTTGGCTTGCATCAAAACCAAGAAAAATCCAACAAAAAACATATAAGTGATCACTAAGGGGACATAAAGCATAGAGAGTTCTTCTATGTGGGTATTTTGTTCCATTGCTTGAGTGCTGACTTCACTTTATACAACAAAAAGAAAAGTCAAAGGACCAAAAGCTATGAGAAAGTGACAAAAGAAATGACTTTTTACTTCTTAGGCAACATATGAAGCCAGTACATAAATACCCATTTACTTAATACTTATCTAGATCACCAGAAAAATAAAAAAAATTAGGAATTTAGCAGAAAAAAAAAAATTAAAGACTTCTCTATCATTTAAAAATTTGTGAATAAGTTTGAACCTATAACTTCATTTGCTTATCTCCCTCTCATGAAACTGAGAGTCAGATTAGAAGTAACATAGAACTAAGAAGAGGAATGTGATCATAATAGGAGCAATTACCAAACAAGTAAAATAAGGGACAAGAAAGGGAAGACCCATTTGGGTTCACATTTCTAAATGAACTAAAATGTATTAAATAGACATTGGAGTTGATGCATGGAGATGGAGGTTCCTTTGAAGTCAAACTAGATTGTGTATTTGGTGAAGAAAAAGAAATCATAGCAAAGTCTTCTCTTCCCCTAAAAAAAAACCAATTTCTTTTTACATTTTTAAAAATTATTTTTCTTAATATAGGAATCAGATTCACAATGAATTCTTTTTTATTAGAAAGATCTAATTTCATTTATTTGACCCACTGCTGCTAGATTTATTGCCTGCTTTTGAAAAATTTAGACCTTGCCTTCTGGGCAACATTTATATCTACCTTTAGCGCCACATTCAATTCTCTCTCTCTCTCTCCATTTGACTTGTATTCTTGATTTCTTTTTAGTAGAAAGACAACTAAATTAAACTTCAGTTTCCATCTAAAGCTCATAGCCCATTCATATCCACAACCCTCTCGTGTCATTAAAAATCTTAAAAATTTAACTTCTGGGTTTCCTGGATGGCTTCTTGAATTCGTCTCCAGCAGCAGATGAGGTTCTTGATATAAAGCTGCAATCTTGGTGAGTTATTTGTTTCACTTCAGTCTTTTTCTTGGAAAAAATGAAGTGGGTTTTTCTTCAAAACAAAGAAAACACAATTTTTTCTCCTTCACAGGACCCTTATTTTCTTCCACAGCCACCTCCACATCTTGATTCTGATACTGGTTTTAATCTAAATAACAAAATTAGCCCTAGTGTACTGCTTATTATTGTAATTCTTGCTATCATTTTCTTTGTTTCTGGTTTACTTCACCTTTTAGTGAGATTTCTTTTAAGACCACCAAACAGAGAGAATGATGAATTAGACAATGTAACTGCTCTTCAAGGGCAATTGCAACAACTATTTCATCTTCATGATTCTGGTGTTGACCAATCATTTATAGACACTCTCCCTGTTTTTCACTACAAATCCATTATTGGACTAAAAAACCCATTTGATTGTGCTGTTTGTTTGTGTGAATTTGAGGATGAAGATAAACTTAGGTTATTACCAAAATGTAGTCATGCCTTTCACATGGAGTGTATAGACACTTGGTTATTGTCTCACTCTACTTGCCCTCTTTGTAGAGGAAGTCTGCTTCCTGATTTCTCTTCAAGCAATAGCTGCTCTCCTATCGTGCTTGTTCTTGAATCTGGTAGTGAAAGTTCAAGAGAGATTGGAATTGATAGGGAAAACCATATTGGTAGAAGTAACTCTGTTTTGAATTCAAGTTCCCATGTGGGTTTCAATGGAGAAAATGAATTGGGATCTTCAAGTAAGGAAATTTCATATAAATCAAGTGAAATTTTGATAAAAGAGGAGTCTTTACCTAAAATGGTTGATTTAGGGGGGAAAGTTGTTCCTGTTAAATTAGGGAAATTTAGGAATGTTGATATCGGTGAAGGAAGTAGTAACAGTAATGTGGATGAGAGGAGGTGTTTTTCTATGGGTTCATTCGAGTATGTAATGGATGAGAATACTTTATTGAAAGTTGCTATTAGGACCCCAATGAAGAAACAATCAAGCAAGAAACCTTCTCTGCCTTTAACACCAGGGCATAGGCCTGCAATGTCTGAGTGTGATTGTGAATCAAGAAGAGAATTCCATGGATTTGAAGGAATTAGAAATGTAGAAAGTAATGGGAATGGGAATGAGAATTCTATTGTTGCTAGGAATGGAAATTCCAAGAAAGAAAGCTTTTCTATATCAAAGATTTGGCTTAGAGGAGAAAAAGAAAAGAATAAACCAAGCGGGGATTCAACGAGGAGGGCTTTTTCGTTTCGGTTTCCGGTTAATAACAAAAATGTGGGTTGTGGTGATGATTTGAAGTTGAAAAATGGGAATGTCGATGCAAGGACTAATTCAGAGATAGGAAGTTCTAGATGGGAATTTGATGAGGAAAATCAGAGTTTTAATGAAAAAACTCCTTCATTTGCTAGAAGAACTTTGCTATGGCTTGTGGGGAGACAAAACAAGGTTGTTCATTCATCATTTACACCTAATATGTAGTTTCTTTTCGATTTTTTTTTCTTGGATATTGTTATTTTTTCTGGGAAAATTTTCTTCTATTCAATCATTTTGTCTAAGGCAGAATCGGAATATATCTCTAGTTGGATAAAAAAAAAATAAAAGGAAAGAAAGCATACAATTGAAGCATTTGCATTTCATAGTGCTTGTTGTTTTCATATCAAAACAGGAATTTTCTTGATGATTGTGTTCTTCTTTTTGTCTTTTCAAGGTCAACAGTTTTTGCCTAACAACTTGTTTCCCCATAATTGAAATGTTGGACTATTAACTCCAATATTAAATCTTTGATTATTACTTACATGCTAAGGTTCTGGATAATGGATTTTTTTTTTTTTTTGGGTTTGCTTTTTGGAACAGTGAAAATCCATGTGGTTTGTATTAAAAAAAAAAAAAAACAAATCAATGGGATGTGGCTAAAATTGAAATTTTGATTTTTCAGAATGTTTTCTCCAAAATAACGTATCCATTTGAAAATGTCAGAGAATACTAATTTTAAAATTTTTTTAATTGTATCCTCATTTCTATTAACGCAAAAATTATTTTCTATAATTTTTAAAAATCCATTGTCCCTCTCTTAATTTTATTAATAGATTAATGAAGAGAGAATTGTGAAGATGGGAGTGATAATGTGATATAGTCAAATTAGAAATATTTTATTAGAATTTTAAGAATAATCTAGTTGAAATTAAAAAATATTTTATTATAATTTAAGTAACTTTATCATTTTGTTTAATCACTGTATAATAAATCTAAAATGGTAGATAAAAATTGATGGAAGGAGTAAAACATTTTTTTTTTAAAACATTAGTCCTCTAAATTAAAAAATTGAGAAACAATGTTAATTTTTATGTTGAAAAGATTGGAAAATATATAATTTAAAGAAATAAATTACAAAAAAAACACCAAAATCAATCATCACTTGTTAATATCAGTTGGTTGTATTTTATGTGTGGGTTCATTCAATGGTCTATCGATCACAATAAATGATATGAAAGAAGCAGAATTCAAATTCGAGTGCAGCTGGCTCTGGCTGTTTGCATTAAATAGAAAAGTAATGGCTGATGTTAATAACGTCACGAGAACGGTTGAGAGCACTTGTCTGTGTTATGTTTTATTTTTACACCTAACAATAATATCTGATGTGATATAAAACAACATTTAGTTTATATGACAGAGGATAATTTTCTCCTACAGAAAAAACTTGAATCGGAGATCTCTTACTCTGTACATCTTCTATAAGACATGAGAAAACTAGTCAGATTATATTTTATTAGTGCGTTAATGAATTTGATTAGGGCTTAATTAATAACAATAATAATGTAAAATACAATAAAGGTATTGGATCAGTAAAAATAGACTGTATTTACAAACGAATTTTATTCATAAAATTAATGTCAGAATTTGAAGTCATTATTCGGAGGAATTTACATGAATACTATCTTAAGTCTGAACGTGGAAACACTTATATTAACAAAAAAAAAAAAAAATCTAAAATGAATTTTTGATACCAGCTCATTGGTTTTGAAAATTATAGAAATACTTTATATTGTTAATCTATAAACAATTTGGCCATATAAAATTTGATACCTGACCGTTATTAAATCTCCCTCTTCAATAACCAACACTCCAATATTTAAAAAACAATTAAAGGTTTTATGAATATTTATGTGCAAAATGAAAATATTAACAATTAATTTTTGTGCATTGAAAACCGTAGTCTAACTAAACTGGCGAATGAGAGGAGTTGGAGAAAAGGGGGCCGGATAGGAGCCCAATTTGAAAAGCCCAACCACCTCGTTAAGTACAGAAGTCTATCACAAACACATGGTCACTTCTTTGGCAGTCAATGCCTTGTTAGACTTTTCAATATTTGCATGCTTTTAGGAGTTCTTATTTATGGGTTTTGAGAGGTTGGAGAAGAAGAGGACTCTTCATCCATGTGGCAGTAGTTTTCATTTCTTTTTTTTTTTTTTTTTTTTTTTTTTTTCTTTTTTTTTTTTTTTTTTTTTGTAATTGTGCTTCTTTACAATGGATTAATTTTACTGATGAAATCGAATTTAATTTAAATTATTACTAAAAAATAATTTACTTATTTTTGATAAAAAAATTAGGTTTACTAATTTTTTATTTTGAGTGTTTCTTTTATTAATTTATTTTGTTCTTTGGGATCTATGAATATAGTTCATATAGTCTTCTATTATTAGAGTATTTTCTTTTTTTTTTTTTTTTTTTTTTTTTTTTGTGTGCTTTTTACCAATGGATTAATTTACTGATGAAATGAATTTAATTAAAATTATACTAAAAAATAATTTACTTATTTTTGATAAAAAAATTAGTTACTAATTTTTTATTTTTGAGTGTTTCTTTTATTAATTTATTTTGTCTCTTTTGGGATCTATGAATATAGTTTATATAGTCTATATTAGAGTATTTTCATCTTTTCTTAATAATTTAACAGCAAATTCATCATAAATAATTGTAATTTCATCCTTTTTATTTTGATAAATAACTAAGTAGTCTCATTAAACTATTTAGAGTCTGTTAGGCAAAATTAATTATTTTGATAGCTGTTAGTTATTTTAGTAGACTTTGATTGTTAGCTGTTTGAGTAGTTTTTCATGAAACGCTACAAGCTAAATGTTATATGAGTTAATTTTTCACAAAACGCTACATTAATCTCTAAAATTAGTTCAAACGCTATGTTACTGAATACTATAAAAAGTAAATCAAAACGCTAAAAACTATTTAAAAAGCTTTAGTCATTACGTTTAAAAAAAAAAAAATCATTTTAGAGGTTAAGTATCCTATAATATTTGACTGATTGCTCTTTCACATTTAATATAGTTTTATCATTTATTCTTTACGTTTAATATTGAATTATTGTTTAGTTCCTCATCTAACAGTAGAAAAAACACTTTTTTCGAAGGAAGAAATTAAAGAAATTAAATTTTCGATATTAATTAATATATTTATCAAACAAGAGGGATGAATTTATAATTATGATCAAATCTAAGGTCTGAAATAATCATTTTCCTTATTTCAATTGCCATTCTTGTCTTCTCCATAGAGTGAAGTCTTAGCTATATAGGCCTGCATCGAAAAATTGATTGAACGGCCAAATTCCTTGAATCTCCACTAATTTGACACCAAGTTATTATTGCAGTTGGCCATAACGAACGTCTTTCAGCTTATCTTCGTACAGGCTTTGGAAGTGTATACATATATATAGCCACGCAAAAAGCAGGCTGATCGAGGAGTGACATTAAATCTTGCTGGTGGGTGTGGGATAAAATGAAAGCCCACTTGGAAACAAGAATTGTACACAACATGCTTACACCGACCAATGTACTATTTACGTGGTCCTCTCCATTATTCACCGCGTCTCTAAAAATCTTCTCTTTTAGCAAATTCTCCGCGTAAAAATGGTGAAATCCATGAATTCACTTTTAAATTTTGTAATTTTAATATTATAGCATTTTGAAATTTATAAATAACTTATTGTGCATTTAGATTTATAAATTTTGATGACTTTCATGTCTTTCATATTAACAAGAACAACAATTTTTTTGTGAGACTAAAATATTGATTTCATGGGTGCGGTTTCTGATTCAAGTTCAGGATGACTCGGTTTGTTGTACTTAATTATGAACACACCAAATTAACTATTGAGGGTTCCAATGTCTAATTTTTTGAACTACTGAGAGTTGAATGGTATTCCTACGTACCATATTGTGAAGTTACAAGTTGAAAAAGACAAGGGGAATAAGGTAATATTTTTTTTCCACAACATCCAAAAGTTAAAAGAACAAAAATCCACAAGATGACAAGGAGCTCGACGAACTCTGCTCCATACCTTCCCCATAATATTGCTTTAGAATCTTGTCCCAACTTAGGCAACCTCTTCTATATAAACTCCCTTTTGTCTCCACAATTCATACAATACCCAATTAATAAATAAGATTTTAGATTTTTAATTAATTTTCTTGTTTTATTTTCCATGAATAGAGGAAACCTCAAGACGAAGAAGAGCAACCGCTTGGTAGCAAGAAAGAAAGTGAAATTAGTTTCACTTTCAAGAAGAAGAAATGTTTGTACTCTAAGAAGAATGATTCCTGGTTGTGAGGAAGTTGATGAAGAAACTTTGTTTCAAAAGTCTATTGATCATATTGTAAGGCTTAAACTGCAAATTGGAATTCTTAGGAGTCTCTTGAAGTTCTATGAGATTTGAGTTAAGCCTTCATGTGAATGTAAGTGCTCGTTGCATGGAATTGTATAAAATGTAAAATGCAACATGAAGTAATCATGTCTAGAAATTTCCGGCCTTTCTTTTATTATGATATGTAGTTCATTATCACGTAATATTACTTTTTTTTATTAATCACAGTTATGTCACTTCACACATACGCAGCTGCCAGGCTTTTCATAGCCTTTAACACCCGCATGGCGCTTAGGCTCTGCCAGTAACCTAAGTGGTGAAGCATTCTCTGAGGGTCTTAGCATAATGTCCAGCTCAGCATGTCTTGGAAATAAACGCTTAGTGCATCCGAGTCTGTTTTGTCTAATTTTATTGCAAAATAATTGCATTTACTATTAGTCAGCAGATATAAAATTGCTCAAAAGATTTATTTTCATGTATTGAACAAAAAAATTATGATGTTACATTGATAATAATTACACAATTAAAGTACAAAAGCAGGATGGAGATCTTTTTTAGCTTCAATTTTTGAATAGTTGAAACTCATACTTTGCAACAGAAGTGGAGAGCATAAGCATATGATTGATAGTAGAGGCCCATGTCTTGTAACGATGATAATCATCACCCATGTCTAGCTTTATTATCCCTTGATTTGTAGTCAACACTATAAGATAACATGTGCCCTCAATTTCTTGATCTTCTTCTGAATCTTTATACAACTCAGCATGCAGGTCCAGTATAATACCTATGTATAGCAATTAATCCAATCATAATTAATCTTCACATTAATGAACTTCTTAATTAATCTAGGGGTTATTTTATAATTAAAAAACAAAAAAATAAAAAGAAAAAGAAAAAGAGAGGCAGCAAAACATACTTTCCTTCTTGCTTTTCAACAAATTGAGCTTTCTCATTTTTAGAATAACCTACAAAATAAATATAAGGATCAAGAAATTGCAATTATGTCACATGCAGCTTTGTTTATTTTATATAGAACATAGTCAAACCTTGGCCTGGCTGTTGAGGAAAATAGACACTGATCTCACTCTAAAATTTCCTGTAAACACAAAGAATAATAATAATAATATTAATAACAAAATGTGGGTAAAAGGAAAATAAATTAAATTATATATATATACCATCAGGTGTTTCAACATGGAGTTCAGAGCCATTGGCAAGGATTGATCTAGGTTTTTGAAAGTCAAAATCAAGGTCATTATTGTCCTCTATGGGCAGCACTGGTGCACTTCCATTTAGTATATTTTTGCATCCTGTTCTTGCTTTAAGAGTAGCTGCTCCTTTTAATGCTGCATCAGGCTCAATAAAGCACACATTCAACTTAAAAATGGAAAGCCAGGTGTTCTAACTATTCATTGAAAAAAATAATAATAAAGTAGAAAAAAATTTTAAATTTTTTTTATTTTAATTAGTCGGTAGTAGGCAAGTTTTTATCACGAAAACTGGTGAAAGAGAATATTGTTACATGTTGCAGCAGCAGCAGTGAGTGTTAGGATGTCACTTGCAGTGGTACCACTCATGGCTGAACCTATCACGCTGCTAAGCTGTTCCCTCTTCGCTCCCATCGCTTCTGCGACTTTGGCGCACTGTGCCGCCACCAAAGCCGCCGCAGAGACCACCGCTTCCTCCTTGGTGGTACCGGATTCATTATTTTTTTTCGAGTTCTCAGCAGCAATAGCAGCTAGTGCAGCAGCTACACCTGCAACTGATATTGCTGCATGTACTTCTGCTCTTTGTAGCCTATCTTCTTCTTTTCTCTTTTGTTTTATCTCTTTCAACCATTTCTTGATCGATATTATCTTAAATGGTGCTATTTTCCATGGCAACTGCATCAAGAATTATTATTAAATTTGTCTGCAAGGTTACCATAAAGAGTAGCTAATGACCAAAAAAATAGATTTCGTAATAAAATTCCAAAAATTTTAAAATTAAAAATTAAAAACTTGAAGTTTATACTTACCCATTTCTTTCTATTGTAATTTAACTCAGGATGCATTGCTTGTTGCATCCATATCCATGACTGCAAGTAGAAATAAAAATTTTAATCACTAATCTTTTGTTTGGTATCAACAAATTCGAAGTATAAAATTCATTTATAAATGCTCATTTTAGTGCGTGAATATCCTAAAATTTGTATTTGTTAGAGTTAAATGAGTATTTTCATAATGTCAAACATAAAAATATAAAGTTTTTATTAAATTTACAAAAATTCATATAATTGATTCATATCAAATAGACTTTAAGCATTTTATTTTTATTTTTTGGTTTGCACCATGTGGTATCCATGCTCGGCTGAGACGATATATATTCGGATAATTATATGTTCAATATATAATACCTTAACATCGTTAGATTTCCATGGTGGTAGATTCTTGAAGTCTGAATCTTCCATTTTCTGCACACAAAAAATAAATAAAATTACAAAAAATCAAATCTTCCCTCTCTAATTACTTATAATTTGAAAACGGATTGCAAGAAATGCTAATAAAATTTACTCACCACAAAAGAAGGCTTGATCAAGTCACAATCAAATTTCTTTATTGAGTTGTCTAATAGAACAATTGATGATTGATCAGAAAGCTCTGGTTGAAGAGCTTGAACTGCAAAATTGCACCAAGTGCTTGAAAGAAACTCCATTGTTTCAGGATGTGCTTCACAAGGAGTTGGCTTGGCAATTGAATCCATATAATGTGGCTGTATTTCGTGAATGACAAGTTAGTGAAGATGGCAAGCTTATGAAGCTTCAGATATAAATAAACTCTTAACATGAATGAATAGCTAAAGGGACATGTTTGAATCACAATCATGTCACTGTTTTCATGTGGGTTCTAATTTAATAATTTTGGTTCGTACATATTAAAATGTTTTTTTTTTTTTTTTTTTTTTTTTTTTTTGTTCGATACATATTAAAATGTTTTTTCTTTTTTTTTTTTTTTTTTTTTTTTTTAATATTGCGTTTGTTTATTTTTTGAAAACAAGCATTCAACCATTTTTTTTTTTTTTTTTTTTTTTTTTTTTTTTTTAAATGCGTTTGTTTATTTTTGAAAACAAGCATTCAACCATATATCAGGCCTTAATTTTGCTTTAAAAAATGCATTTTTTTATATAATTTTTTTAAACAACTCACGGAGTTTTTGGGAGTAAAAGAACAACGCTACATAAAATGTTATACCTGTAGAAATACAGAAATAGTATTGTTTGAATAAAGTTAAAATTTTTTCATTTTAATTAAATTTTTTTATATATAAAATGAATTTTGCATTATACACTAAACTAATATTTAGTGAGCTGTAATGAAATATAATGTAATATAATTAAATAGATTCTAATATAATATTTATATTATAGATGTATTTAATTACGCAGCATTACTTCCTATTAAATTGTTTAATTTTAATATCTTACATTTGAAAAGGAGTATCCATAAAAGGGATTATTTGGACTCACATTTTTAATGAGATGGAGTATGATTAAATTAACATCCTAATACATGTGGTTCTAGCATCATTACCATTAATGTGATTGACCCATATAGGAGATTAGAAATTTCAAAAAAATAAAAAAAGTTTTAAATTGTTGAAATTTTGGCTTAAAGGTTTTTAATTAAGAAGTGATATTAGGTACAGCTTGTTCCTGTCCTCATAAGCACATCGTCTAAAAAAACAAAACAAAGAAAGTTCCTCAAAAAGGGTTTTGACAGGTGAGATATCATAGTTGGAAAGGGCATAAAATAATTATAAGTTGGGTGCATACTCAAAATATGAGGATTGGGAAACAAGAAGGGCCTACTAGTTATTGCAAGAGTTTATAGATAAACACATTTTTTTTTTTATTCAGGTCCATATCTGTTTTAATAGTCTAAAAATCTGACTAAATTCCGCTTGCATTTAGAGGAGTTTACATTATAAAAGATTGAACTAATAACCTAAGCCATAGTGATCAACCCTACAAACGTTTTTCGCCACTAAATTATTCTATTCGGATTATGAACACATATTTATTAAAAGAGTGTCTTTTTCAATATTTCATTTAGAGGGAACACATGCTAACCATTGCAGAAGCATGGATTTTTTTTTTAAGATAAAATGATATTTTTAAAGGGAATAAAAAAAAAAAAAAAATCCCTTTTCCTTTTTTTTGTATCTTTAAATGAAAACCATAATTTCAAGCTAAGGATGAACAAGTTTATGATATTTTTTAAGTACTAGGGCCACCACATTATTAGCCCCTCTCTAACCAAAACTGGCCTGAATTGTTAGGCATTATAACCAAGCATGCAACTAGGACCGACAATGGCTAAAAGAGACTGGACATGAATCATTGATGCTATAACCATAATCATAAAGGGTCATGAACACATGTATCATTGAAGCTAAACATTCTTTTATTAGAATAATTACATGCTTGAGTTATTAATTAATTTAGATATTGTTCTTTCAAAAAAGGCCTAATGATTAAAAAAATTAATTTTCTTAAATCACAAATTATGTTCTATTCTTGCAAAACATATTTTTATCTTAATTTAGAAAATTAGTTATAACTAATTATAACTATAACTATATTCTTTTATCAATTAAAATTAGGGTAAAATAGTTTATTTTCAAAGATTTAGAGAGATATATAATTCTAATTTATTGAAAAAATGGGTGCTTTTAGTTACTAATGAAGGAAAGGCTTTTTTGGGATTTGATTATTTAAAAAATGTTTATGGGGTCACCTTATTATTCTCTTGTACTGATGGATGGTTGGACTTTAACTTAAGAGATTCTGTTAAAGGAGTGCTCATAATTAGGCTCATGTGACAAGCGAATAATTTAGTTCTAAGCACTTAATAAATTTTAATTGTTAATCTAATATTAAGACTAGGATCAATGCATTATTCTTTTCTGATTAACTTGTAAGGTTCTGCGAAAACTAATTTTCAACATTCTCAAACAAACTAATAATAATTAAATAAGTAAATAAAAAATTAATTGGGGAAAAATAATCTTGTCATTAATAATTTTTAATAAAGGACAATATATAATATGAGATTAAAAATTATTTGATAACAAAAAAAAAAAAACTGCAAAATAGAAATTAATGATTGCGTAGATATAATGTGTCGTAACAAATTTTATTGGGTAGTAATTTGATTGCTTTGCTATTAAATTTGATTCAAAATTAATTTAAAATCACTCTGCGAGTCAACCCGACTTCAATCCGTCCAAATAAAAGGCATGATCTGAGGTAAACCAAACCAAACTGACTCGATCCCAAAAGTGACTCAACCCAAACCCACTCGACCCGACCTGTTTGCCACTTCTCCTACCCATCGTGTTCCTTGATTTCCTATCAAAACGACGAGTATTACCCTAAATCTCTTGACTTTTCTTAAACAAGTTCGGTTGGGTCCAACTTTCAAAAACTTTAATGCCATTGTCTCTGTCGTCTGCTCCAAAATTGAAGTAACAGTCGCCCAACCTCTTCTATTCTTTGTTTCTGTTACCTGGTCTGCAGGTGCAGGTAGTGATAGATTGGACCCAAAAGTGTCAAACTTGAGCCCAAACCTAAACTGGGCCTGTCCTATAATCATCCATAAAAATGGTGGGGACTTGCTTTCTTGTCTGAGAAAGATAACGTGAAGCTCTGAAATTAGTCTTGCAGTGGGACTAGCAGTAGCAGTGGACTCATCTCCCAGTTAAAGATGCCTGTACTTTGGCTCTATGTGTTTGTCTTATTAAATCAAAATATTTATTTTAAATATATCATATTTATACTATATAGTATTATTTATGGACATAACACAAAAGATATTAAAATTACTATTAAAGGAATACTCTTAACATCAATACTGTCCTGCTTAGTCCAAATTCTGGTACAGAATACACAGCAACATCATATCATGAACCTACTAAAAGAAGGTTCATTACGCTCAGCTTTCTTAATTTGTTGCTTTTACATTTTTTTTCTTAAGTGGAACATTTCCATTGGCCTCTTATGTATGTATCTTAGCTAAGTTCTTGTATAGATAGATTAGTATATATGTATTAACCCTTCTATTAAATGCTAAAATGATATCAGTTACTTAATTTTTATACTCAAGTTCAATTTAATAAGTAGGCTTATTTAATCTAATTTTAATATTAGTTACTTAATTATACTAAAGTTCAATTTTTTTGACACATATATTGAAGTATTTTTACCAGATACTGCGACCAATTTAAAGAATTGAAAATTTTATTATCGCATGGAAAAGATAATTTATTTCATTTTTGAATTATTCATCTATATTTTTGAATTTTCTATTTAAATAATAAAAAAAATTGTATTTATGTAATTTAAATTAGAAAAAACTAATATTATAAGATGTAAATAAATCATGCAACACATGAGCATAATTTTCATAGATGTAAACTATCTTAAATTCATTAATGGACTTAATGTGTAATACGACATATACCTTAGAAAATTTCTTGCATACACCCGGTCCGGTGTATGGGTGGTCCATGTATGAAGCCAATAAAAATTTCTTTTTTTTTTTTAAATATTGATGAAGGTAAGTTTTTCCCTCCCTAAATGTTCACTATTTCGGCTTCTGATCGTCTGCTTCAAAATTATTTATTTAGAGTGGTGTGTTTTTGCATATACAAATGATAAATCTAATGTTAAGAAAAGTGAACATTACCAATAATATGATTCTCAATTACTAGCCAGCTTGATCACTCTTGCTCTTTATATATACATGCATGCATACATACATACAAGTATGTATGCATGTGTATGGATTCCCTTTCATTGAAAGATAAAATTAACAAATTAGCAAAAAAAAAAAAAAAAACCAGGCGTTGATCACTCTTGCTCTATATATATAGCATGCATGCATACATACATACAAGTCATGTATGATGTGTATGGATTCCCTTTCATTGAAAGATAAATTTAACAAATTTAGCCAAAAAATGAAAAAAAAAAGGGATACGCAAAAAAAAAAAAAAAAAAATATACCATTGAAAATAAGTTACATTGCTTTATGTGTTACTTTCCACTGTAAAATTCATGAACTAATAAATTTTTTTTTTTAAAAAAAAAAAACTTCATTTAAAAGATTTTTCTTAATCTCATGTTGAAATTAGATTTGAATTGTTATTATAGAATGGATAGAATATATTACTATTATATAATATTTAATGACCCTCTTGTTAGTATATTTTTCATTGTCTCATTGGAATTAGCTTTTAAGATCAGATTGACTTCAAACTGATTGAGTACCTTGAAATGTAAGAAAAATCTGAACAAATCTAAAAAATTATTGTTCATGTTCAACATTTTATTATTATATTGAATTAATATTGTATGGACAAAGTGTTTGATTTTGCCAAGTAGTTGTGATTTGGTTGGGTTTTTTTTATTAATGTAAAGAGTTTGAAGTTTAGAGTGAAAATTTTTTTTTAATCAAAGAGTTTTCATTAGTTCGGTAAGTCAAGAGGAGAACTAACTTATTATGTTATTTCGACTATTGAATTCTCGATGAATAAAAAAAAAAAAAGTGTTTGATTTTAAAGTATAAGAGGTTGATGAAGTCAAAGGAATTCTTTTTTTTTTTTTTTTTTTTTTTTTTTTTGAAGGGAAATAGCAAATCAATTTTAAGATACAGTAAAGTAACTTTTCTTAATTAGGATATATAATAATTAGGTTTTGATAAACTAATAATCACTGAGTTGATAATCAATTAACAAATGATATAAACAATTATATTTTATAACAGGAAGGACAATCTTCTTAAGACGTTTGCTCTTGTCACCATCATATAAATATTCTGAGCAATCAGAAGCTTCTGCGTACAAATATTTGCAGTTGGATAGGCCATTGTTTTTTATATTAAATACCCATTTTTCTATTAAAAGAAAAACAGTATCTATAAGCAAAAATGGTGTAAAATACTTTTCTCTCCTTCCTCGCAAAAAAAAAAAAAAAAAAAAAAAAATCATAAAGAAAGAGGGACAAGCAATGCAGTATAGTCTAGTAAGCAACAGAATGGTGTAAGACAATAGCTTTTAGTCGCGTCTGGAGCCGGCCGACTGGGTACGATCAGTAAACAACACGAGAGCAAAAAAAAAGAAAGTATAGGTAAGAGAGACTGAATAAAAGATGAAGTAAGTGCGTAACCGTCTCCAAGGTCGCCATGAGCCCTGCCAAAAAGAGGAAATTGCCGTCTTTGCTGCAGTAGTTTATATGGCCACATGTGCGCTTCGCGATGTTTTCCGTCCATGGTGTCCTGTGTCTCGGTGAAGATTGAAGTTAAATATTAGTGTGTGAGGAGCCACGAGGGAGAAAAGAAAGAAGAGACGTCAAAGTAGAGATCCGCAAAGGGAAATATAGAATGAACCGTCTCAAAAAATTCAGCTAAACGTGTCAACAGTTTATAGTATGAGCAAGCGAAACAGAGAGAAGTTATAAGCGACACAAGAAGAGAGCGAGGGAAACGCTCAGCATAAGCTAGTGTGCTGAAGACCGGGAGGAGCAGAGCGGAGATAACTCGACGAATGAGTGATCGACTCGTACCGGGTGCGATGACCGAGGGTAAGAGCTTGAAGAAATAAGGCACGCTTAAGCCGTACAAGCCTGCCGACGGAGTAGAACGCGAGGTGCCGCTATAAGTACTCCGACGATAGGATCGGAGAAGATACGATAGTATCAGCGCTATGGTCAATGATGCTTTAGTGCCCTTTTATCCATGCATAACTGCTGTGGGGTTGCAAAGAAAGGAAGAAAATAGAGAGGATACAGGAAAAAAAAAAAAAAAAAAAAAAAACCCTCTAAAGAGAATGAATAAAGTAAGTAATTAATCTCTCAAGCATTCCAAAAAAGAAATCTCTTTGTGCATATTTATGCCATGTGGCTCATTTTTCTCATGTTCCTTGTATGGAAGATTGAATTAATTAACCCATTGAAGAAAGAGGGAGAAAAAAGAGATAAAGAAGATGCAAGGAAAATAATGAACTTCAAAAATCAGCAAATTAACTTTATATATGCAAGCACACAGAAACAATTAAACAAAAAGAAGAGAGGAAACAATAAACTAATAATTAAAGAGACCGAATAACATTGATCACTTAAAAATGCTTAACTCAAACTGTACATGCTTAAGCTACTGCAACTAGCTAGCTTCTCATAATCTTTCCTTCATCTAATTTTTCCAAAAAAAAAAAAAAAGAAATACAGAATTAAAAAGTATATATATATTTAAATAAAAGATAGTACTCATAATTCTCCATTAATTGATGCTTCTATTTACCATGGATTATCTCTGTTGCTTTAGCAAGAGTTCTCATTACATCAACTTGAGTTCGAAGCGACATTATATAATCTAGGGTTTCTTCAATCAAAGATATATCATCCATGAATTCACCTCCTGGTACAAGACTCTTTAACACCTGAGTTCTTTTCTTCACAATCTTTCTTGCAAGAGATTTAGCCAAACCCATTTGAGGAGCTACACTATTTCTTCTCAGCTTTCTCGAGCGATGAATCTTCTTCAAGATTTTCTTGCTTCTAACCCTCTTATTATTATTATTATTATTAGGTCTTATCATCGTCGGCCTCTTATTATTAAAAGCTAACACAAGGTCAACAATTTTATTATTGCCATTATTGTTGTCTCTTAAAGCTTTCTCCATAATTGCACGACTCCATTTTGTCATGGAGTTTCTTGTAGAAGCTATGGCAATGTCTGCGGATAGCTTTATTGCTTTCTTTCTTTCTAAGATGCTCATGTTTTGCTTTGCAGAATCACATACTTGAAGACCCATCATCCATTTTTTCAGAAATTGTTGCTTCAGTGACTGAGGAGCTCGCATTTCTAGAATAGAATTAAAGAAATTAATTAATAAAAGAAAAATGAGGATCAATTCTTAATATTTGTTTTCCAATAGTGAGGATTTACCGGAAAAAAAAAATGCACCAATGAATTTCAGCAGAGTGATATTGTGAGAAACTGGGTTTAAAATTCACTATAAGTAGAATTATGAAGAAATAGGAAAAAAATGCTAAAAAGCTTTACCACTTCTTATAGCTTGTCTAAATATGTGGTCATTTGCTTTTTCTTACATTACAAAGATATATATATAGAAAATAATTAATAATAGAAAATTCTTCTTATCAAAACATTACGCCGTATTAAAAACTTTTTTTAAAACTGTGAAGTTACATGTTTGAATTATAATTTTAGAACTGTAAAGTCACGAGTTTTAATTAAAGTCAGCGTATAATTAACCAAAAAAAGTATTAAAAAGCTTTAATTACTACTACCTATAGTCCGTCGAACGACACGATTATTGTACTCTTTATTTACATGTATAAAGAGAGTACATTTTCTCAAGAACTAAAAAGAAAAAGATAAAAATCGAAGAGAGATTATATAAGCTAACTAAGAAAATTAAGGAAAATTAGGGTTTCAAAAGAACATTTTAGCTATATAGTTTGAATTATGCACATAATGCTTCTAATACCATGAGACAATAATTATACACATACTAAAACTACACGTACCTTGTTAGTATAATATCAGACGCTGCGGTGGTTATTTACAGTGTTATGAGGGAAGATGAGTACATTTTCTCAAGAGACTGAAAAAGAAAAGAGATAAAAATGAGTAGAGAGACGAGGAGATAGTATTATTATAGAATGGAAATCGATGAAGGTAACTAAAGCAATATAAGGAAAAGATTAGGGGTTTTCAATAAAGACATTTTCGCTAATAATAATTGTAATTATGGCACATAATAGAATATCTAACATGACCAATAGACAAAAAATTATACACATAAAATATAACACGTCTTGTGTAGTCATATGTATATACTATTATATATTCATATAATAATAAAATATATATATATATAATATATTTATATTCTTGTATTGATCAAGAGGAGGTGATACCCATGGGAAAAGAATGAGAGAGACAATAGTTGCAGAAGAATGCAGTTGCTGTTTCTTGGGTTGAACAGATCCAAGAAAGTGAATGCAAGAATCCTGAAATGAAATGAAGCTTGAGAGAGAAGAGAGGGAGAGAATGAGAAAGAGAAGAATGTGAAGAAACCCAATTTATTTGCTCCAAGGAAAGAAGTGGTGGGCCTTTGAAAGAAAGACACCGCACATGCAAGCACATGGTGTTCGTGGCCCACTATACAAAACCTAGACGATATTAAAATTAAATAATTAAATAAATAAAAATTATGAAAGGGTGTTTTTAATTTGATTTCTGTTGAATTAATTAATGCATTAAAGGTTCCATCAATAGAATGCATACCAAACATCTGTTACTCGTTACGGATACAAAATAAACATGTAAGGGAATGTCAAAAATTATTATTATTATTTACTTTTTACTGTAAAAAACCCTTGTTAGATTATTATTTTTTTTTTTTTACTTTTTTAACCCATTTGAAATGATAGAGAATACGTAATTACTCATGATATATTGATCTAAATATATAACAAGCCAATTATATATTGACATATAAGAAATGCAGTTAAAATTAATTCAATTTATAATAAATAAATAAGGGTGATAAAATCTCCAACCGCATATTTTTTCAAAGGTACCGACTGCATTTCTTATGTGTCAATAAATAATTCGCATATACTAGGAGTAAATAAATAATTCTCTAAAATCATTAATTAAATATTAACGACAAATAAATATATTAAACAGAGTCATGTAAGAGTATGTATTGGCATTTTCTAAAGTAGAAAATGCAGAAATAGCAAGCAGCATAGTACCATAAAAAGCTATATAATTAATTTGCATATTATTTGGATATGGGAGATGAAGAAGTAGATGAGCAAAGCATTTCATTTTCTGGACAAACAACTGAAGTTTGTATTTTTAAGACCAACCTATCACATATTTTCTACAAATAAACAGAAAAGGGAAATTATTAATACTCAACACTTAGTGGAAAATGATTTTGAGGTTGTTTATTTATGGATTCATTCGTATAAATATAATTCATACAGATAACTTATAATATATAATTCGAGCCGAGAGATTTTAAATTTTGGATTTCAAACCTTATGAATAAAATTCACTTAACATTAAATATTAAGATATGAAAAATCTAAACCATGCCCAAACATTAAATATACATTTATGTATAATAATAATTATTTTTAGAACATAACAAATACAAATATTACCAAAAGCAAAAGAAGAAAGGGAATGGAAATTATTACAGCTGATATGGAGTGTGGAAAAAAAAAAAAAAAGAAGAAAAATGGGATTCTAGTTGTAAGTTTCGAGTATTGTGCCACAAAAAATGAGGATGTTGATTTGGAGAGAGAGAGAGAGAGGGAAATTGGCAGGATCCGGAAAACATGGCGATGCTGAGAGGGCAAAGAGGTCCCACAGCAAGAGAAAGTCTAGGGCATGGGTTTTGGAAATGAAGGAAAGTTAGAAGTCCCCACATGGTCTCCACATGGGTTTTTAAAAGTATGCCCTTGTGTAGCCTCTCTCAAACTACATTCCTATATCATAATATTCAGATTTTTTCACAATTTTTTTAAGCACCCTATGCCTTTTTTTCTACACTCTACTTCCTACGCCTCATACTTAAATTTATTTTGGCTTTGCTTTTTCAGATATTTATCACCCTCTTTCATGTTTTGGTATATATACATGTATACACACCATTAAATAATTACATCTTGATTAATAATAAGTTTAATTCAACATAATAATGTGTGTTAGAAGTAGACATAAGAACTCGATCCACCGTTAAATGTCTTAATTATAAGTACATAACATGCTTGTAGATTGTAGATTAATTTTTTAAAATGGTGGGACCAAAATGTGAAAATGCATTGTCATTGACTTTGAAGAGAAAATCAAGAGACTTAAGACACATGATTTTATTTTTCTATCCCTTGCTTCCTAAAGTCCCTCATCTCAAAACATATTCTTTATTTTATATCAATCTGTCTCGCTATCTCATTAGTCATTCACTTGACTGGTATTTTAATTTTTAGCAGCTTAATTACCAAAATTTAAGGATGAATTTAGTTTGCGAATTTTGTCTTTGGTATGAGAGAGTTTCTTTTAAATGATAAAAGATATAACGGGTTGGTTTATTTTATTGAATTTTGAATTCTCAACGTTAACTTACTATCTTATTGGGTTCAAGCATTAAAAAGTGATGTCCAGAATTAATTATTGAATGATTAAGAAATGATATTTTTGTCTTGTATCATAATTATATGACAATTTTATCTTTTCATTCAATGAATTAGATAGCTTATTAAATCTCCTCTTAAAAGCAGATTTTTCATTCAAATAAAATTTGACTCGAAAGTTGAAGGTCTAATAAATTTCCAATAAAGCGAAACAATTAATTCATAATTAATTATATTATTTTAGGGTTAGTTGAGTTGAAATGTTTTTCTTTTTGGTGTAAACTATCGGTATCCAGATCTTATTATCAATGACTGACTAATTCGGCTCAAAGTTTAATCACAGTTATGTTGTTGTGGTGATATCCACTCAAGTGGGACCCACACACAAATGAAAAAAAAAAAAAAAAAATCAAATGGGAATTTAATAGCTGTAATTAAATCTCGCTCATTAAGGGCAGGTTTTTTCATTCTAAGATAAAATTGACTCGAAAGTTGGAAGGTCTAACATGAGAACATTTTCCAATTAAAATGGCGAAGCAGATCAATTCTCATAATAATTAATATTATTATTAGAGGGTTAGTTGAGGTTGAAATTTAGGTTGTCTTTTTTTTTGGTGTAAACTATCGTATCTTACAGATAATTATTATCATGACTGACATAATTCGGCCTCAAAGTTTTAGATCAACAGTTCATGTTGTTGAGGGCTAATTCACTAAGTGAGGGGGAGCCCCCACACAAATGAAAAAAAAAAAAAAAAAAAGAGAGAGAAACAGTGTTTAATGAAACAGAAGAAAGGTAGCAACCAACCATGATAACATGAAGGAAGCTGATGGTGGGTAGACTCAGCACACACGGCTCTCACATCACTACTCCTATATAAGTGAATGGGAAGATGGGTTTCAGCTCATATCAGAACACAAGCCTAAAGAGCAAGACGGAGAAAAAAAAGTGTAGAGGAGAAGTTCTAGTTTTAGGGGGAGAGGGTTTAAGAAGCTGGAAAGAGAGAAGATAGTGAAGAGAATTATTATGGGCGTGTTTTTGGGGAAACACTTTGCTGTTGCGCACTAATTTTTGATTAGTTACTTACTAATCTCTTTGGTGTGAACTACTATTTTTTTAATTCGTTAGAAGAAATGCTTCAGAGTAGTGTGTTCCGACCGTGGACGTAGCCGTAAAAACAGTCATGGAGGGGAGAACCACGTGAAATATTCTGTGTGTCAAGCAAGTTTATTTGGGTGTTTTTGGGAAACACTTTGTGTGCCACTATTTTTGTATTACTCTCTTTGTGTACCTACTATTTTTTTAATAGTAGAAGAATGATTCAGAGTTTGTCCCGTGGACGTAGCCCTAAACAGTTGAGGGCGAACCACGTAAATTTCTGTGTGTCACAAGTTTATTTTTCCGCTGCGTTAATTTTCTTTTAAATGGTTGAAAGGGCCCAACAAGTGGTATCAGAGCTGATGCCCAAAAACTAGTATCAGAGCTGATCCCTAACAAATGGTATCAGAGCTGATTCCTAACAAGTTAAAGCTTTTTACCCCTTCTATTGTTATGTTTTGTGAGGATCGAACTCGAGAACTCTTTCCAAGCAAATATAATTGGTATCTTAATTACATTTTGGATTCTATTATTTGATAACTACAATAGAAATTTAGAATGTTAACTAAAAGATTAATAAGATTTAATCTAATTGATTTTTATATATTTATAAAAATATGAGAAATAGAAGATTTAAAAAAAAAATAAAAACTTTATTTTCTCTCACATGGATATATATTATCCATCCATTATATAATCATAACACACTCTTACATTATCTCGTGGATGGAGAATTATTGAACTAGAGTATGCTTATGTTTTTTTATATGATTTTCTATAAATAATGACTTATTATGATTTAAATATATAATCTCTTTCATTATGAAATACTAATCCAATCCAACAAAATAGTTTGCACATTAAAAAATAAATAAAAAGAAATATCTAATTAAGTAGCTAGGTACCACCGTACAAGACTGTCCATGTAAGTAAATATAGCATGCATTGAGGAAGAGGGACCATGCTAAATTATAGACACTGATTTTATTTTTATTATTTTATTATGTAATAAATTTGAAATATAAAATGAAGAGGAGGTGGTGATACGAGGCGAAGTGGTCCAACCAAAGATGAGCCACGGGTCAACCCCCGTGATTCACGGTTATCGTTGTGGCCGCTGCTAAAAACCCTTCTTGTTTTATAATTTGGCATGTCCTCTTATTCAGATTGAGGACTTGTTATTTTCTTTTAATTTTAATTATTTATTTTCTTGATATAGATATTTAAATTTTTATTCTCTTAATTAAAATTTTTGGTTTTGCGCTGACTATTTCAAGTGTGAGTTTTTTTAT